CTCCATAGGGAAAATAAATTATTTCGTCCCCATTTTATCCTGCAGAAGGGAGGGTTGTTAATAAAAACAACCTGAATTGTAACTTTAATACTTACTTTTAGTGTGGTTTTTAAATAGACAATATTTTCTGACAAAACATCCATTTCATTGAAGTCGAGCGTAAGGTTGAGAGCCTGCACACCGACTGCATTCATCTTCTTACGAACCTCTTCTGCGAATGGCATTACACGCTTCATGTATTTCTTCAATTGAGGTTTCCTGCTCAGCTCTGAAGAAATTACTTTGTTGTCTGGGAGAGAACCTGTCTCCTGCAAAAGGAGAACATATAATTCAATTAATTTCAGTTGAGTCGGCATAGCTCAGTCAGTATATTGACTGACTACGGACTGGACGACTGGCGTTCGATCCCCGACGGGGCAGAGGATTTTTCCTCTAGCCTCTGCGTCCAGACCGGTTCTGCCTCCTATCCAGTGGGTACCGGGGTCCTTTCCCGGGAGTAAAGCGTGGCCGAGGCGTGATGCTGACCACTCACCCCCATCTAGTGCCGAGGTCAAGAATGGCATATAGTGGGACAGCTTTACTTTACTTTTATGTAATTTCAGTAGCACTAATAGGCATTAAAATCTTGAAAGACTTGTGCCAGAATAATGAGTGGAAGTCAACTGGGAGCAGATAAACTATGGAGTCACTATATCAGTTATAAGATTCTTATCCAATTACTATTATCTGTTAATGTATATATCAGAGACAACAATTCTAACAATCTTTCAGATTCAATTTGTTTTATGGACGCAATAAACAGTTTTATCCGCAAGGTACAAAAGAAAACATTTCATGGCGGCACACTTGGGAGAGAAGTTAAAAAGCAAATCTTTGGCTGGAAAAGAGGATTTTGCATCATAACACAGTGCTTTCCCCACAGTAGTTTGAGCAAAAAATAAATACCACTGTTCAACTATCCACCATATTCACCTGACTTGGCCACGTGTGACGATTTCACGTTACCAAAACCAATTCTCCTTGAAAGGGTATCATGCCTGGTCACTTGACAACATTCAGAGCAATACTGAAAGCACATTTGGAAAATTATTTTCAGCAATACTTCCAGGTATGGCAGGGATTTTGGAATTTACATATTGAAATCAAAAGGTTCATACTTTGAGGATGACCAATAATATCCAGCAATCCAAAATAGAGGCTGGCACATATAATGACACTTTCTTTTCCTGTAGATATATCCTTATGCCGTACAAGTTAAAATGCACTACACGGACAATGACCATTTCTAACACTGTGCAAACTTACATCATGAAGCTGCTTCAATGTCTTCAGCACTGTGGACTGCCAAGGAGGAAACGTCTTTGCTATCCATATGATGGCATGGGTTGGTTTCTCACTGCCTGCACCTTTGTTGGGTTTTCTTGGCCGAGTATGGTTCTCCAGAGCTTTCCGGAATGAGCGAGCTGCCTCCTTGAGGTAACGTGAGGACATAACAAGAACATCATCAACAGGCCCAGCAGTGGGCCATCGTTCATGAAGAATACTTCTTTTCTGAAAATGAATCAAATGCTTTATCATTCCATTAGGGGTTACCCAACAAGTGTCAAGGTCAGATCCTTGCACTTATTTAAGACAGCATCAGAAGCTAGCATCACTAAACTGACATCTAAACAAAAGAATGGCAAACACACCAGAGTTATGCTATCCATATATTTCCTAACCTGTTTCCTCTATTGTGGCGAGCGATTTGATAAATTATACCAAATCTTTGTAAAATTAAATACTGACTTCAGGATGTATGAAAAATCATAGCATATGCTCCAGACAATATCTCAAAATTTCATTGTATCACCATGATAATTTTCTACACACAGAATATTTCACATAAAATTCATAAATTTATGATCTACCACTGTAGTAATTTTACATTCCCGTTCATAATGTCTCATAAGCTATCATTAAATTTATTTTCAGTAGTAACCATGTTATTTCAAGATATTAAAAAAAGGGCCTGAACAAAAGAGCAATTTCTTGAAGATGTTTTACCATATAACATTTCAGAACCCTATGTTAAATTTCTTGAAGATGTTTTACCATATAAAATTTCAGAACCCTATGTTACATGGCTCTAGCATTACTCCCAGCTCAGAAGTTCACATGCCTAATCTGTCATTACAAAATGGCAGGCCTGATGGCACAATACCCACACCTGAAACTCACCTTTCCCAGCAGCTCCCACACATGTTCTGCCACATGCGGGCAGATTGGTGACAGAAGCAGAGCCTGAACCTCAATGAACCATATAACCAAGTCTCTGTGCATCCCTTTCAAAGGGGTCAGTTTATGGTACTTATCCCTGGAGAGCTGCAGCTCAAAGAAGCCAATTCGTAATGCTTCCTTGAATAACATCTTTTCGTAGCAATCCTCGGTTTCACGAATCTTCTTGTTTATTACACTGTGTATGAAACACACAAAGCTTCAAAGCAAAGTTTATGACTGGATAATAAAATATCTAATTACTGCCTATTATCCCACATATTGTGCAATATAACTGCATTCCTCTTAGAAATGAATAACAATGTTGCATAAAGTCAACACATATTGATTCATTCTTTCTGTTACAATGCATAAGCAGTCTTTGTCAAGATCAGAACATTGCTCTTTTAACATTCTTTTTCACCTGTTCCCAGAGTTCATCATCACCACCATTTTGTAATCTTAAGCATGTGAATATTTTGATCAATGTCCCAACAACAACCACAATAACATGTAAACTGTTTACTCAAACTGAGGCAAAGCCAGTTGAAATCGGTAAGTTAGATATACGTAATGTTAAGTAACATGCTAATGAATAAATTATATCTGAATCAGAATACCAACTCCATTTAGCGGAGTCCTTATTAAAAACCTAACAGTCACATGGGCAACCAAGAAATTCCCCACCCTTTACGGAATGCAGAAATTCATTACAATATTCGCAACAGCCTGCCACTGGACCCAATCCTGAGATGCATGAATCCAATCAATATTCTATATCTTTAAATCCATCTTAATATTACCCCTCCATCTACATGTTGGTCTTCCAAGTGATGTCTTCTCTTCAGGTCTTTCAATTAATCTTTTGTATGTGGGAGGTTTTAGGACAATGGAAGTTTAGACTGTGATGGGACACATGTGTATGCTTAATGATGTTTAAAAGGAATCTACTACACAAATCTTCAGGCTGTATGGCAAACCTTCTAGTTTCCCTCAGCCTAAACCTTTCACATAACCCACCAACACAGTGTGATAACGATATAAAGAAAATAAAGTTTTATTAAGGAAGGGAAGTTTCACTACAGACTATATCCCAATACAAACACAGCCTAAAATCATAAGAAGAGATTCAAAGGACTCAGCATGGAAGAAACACTGGGACATTACCTAGAAAATACTTTGTCATTGAAGGTCCTTGCTGCACCCCCTCGAAGGCAGTCCTGCACACTCAGCATTTCCTTCACCCATTCAATGAAGGTAAACAAATGACGAATGCCTGTACAGGCATAAATACAATTAACAGACAGTTAAGAATTAACAATTAACCACACAATTCATATAAATGTCGGTCTTCTTGGCTTTGACACCAATGCGTGAACCTCACATCTCGTACGTCTTCTGGCTGTATACATACGTACCATCTCCATCTTCAAACCAAAGTGAAGGTTAGGGAATGACTGGTTTATACAGGATTAGGTGAAAGATCAGATCCAGAGGATTAGCCACTCAGAGTCATGGGATGAAGATGAGAGACGCAGCAATGCCTGGGCCTATAATAAAGAACCCTATTGTTGGCACCATGCAGCAAGGCTAGATCAGGAGAGAGAATGGGCAAACATGACCTTTAAGAAAAGAGAAAGGAAGGCAGGATTAAGACAAAGTCTTGCTCTTGGATAGAATTTTCTTCCAATTCCTCAGGGTGTGAATAAGTGGTATTCGTGACCTGCACAGACAGCACCCATTCCCTTTCTTGATTCTGTCAGGATGGAGCTCGATATCCATCACTTCCCCAGTAATCCCGTTCATGTCTCTGGTCAGAACAGTGGCGTCAGTCAGCAGGATATGGAGACTGACACTGATGCTCTGCTGTGCCACAGCCAACACATCCCGATGATAAAGCCAGACATGGCAGTGGCACTCCTCATTCCTGGTTTCAATAGAATGATGTGTCAAACCAAATGAAACCATCTCATCCTCACAGCAGATGCTACAAATGCCTGGCATTTTCAGTCACGTCATCCTTGACTGGCCAAAGAAAACTGAAGAAATTCTTTGGTGGGATGACTCCTATGTTGACGTTAGAAAACTGAAGAAATTCTTTGGTGGGACGACTCCTATGTTGACGTGCTTAGACAGCATCCTGCTAACATGGCTAAAGGAAAGGAAGAAAATTCTCTCCAAGAACAAGACTTCTCTTGGTGTCCCTCTCCTACCCTTGATGATCCGTTTTCTCTCTTTCTGTCTCTCTCTTCAGCCAGACTTCCTCTGTGGTGCCGTGAAAACAGCTCTTTCCTATTGGCCTAGACATGGCTCCATCTCCCACTCTCATCCCATAGTTACGACTGACAGCAGCATGATCTCAGACTAACCCCATACAAGACATTCATTTACAAACCCTCCTTCCTTTAGCCCTGTAGACAAGTCAGGGGATTCCTCCAAAACAGTCACGCAACCAAAAGACCACAGAGTGCAAAATCCAGAGAGCCACCATCTTTCCTCATGCATTTGACACATCTGTATATGCTTTAAACCAGAGTTCACCCACCTGCATCTGCTGTACTTTCAACAAAATTTGCATCTTCTACAGAATCTCCAGAGTCAGCCAGACAGAGTCTCATCCCGTCTGCACTAAACTTCTCCACAGCCTCTGAGAGAGTAAGAAAATTTCCTTCTGATTTGGACATCTGTAATGGCATAAGAAAACACCAGTGTCTTAACAAGACAGTAAATAATTCCAGCTAAAAAGTAATGCATGTTAAAATTAGACAGTTGTCTTGATTCCAGTATAATCCTTCATTGTCTGCATAGTTAAAAAAAGTAAAATAAAAATAACTAAGAAAACCAAGATCAAGACAGGAACAACAGGAAAGAAGAACATGGGGAAAAAACTGAGGAGGACGAGTTGCAGAAAAGAAATGAAGATGGAGAGGCAACCCACACGAAGTGGAAAGAGGTTTCAGAAATGTTACTTCAAACATGTGCTATGTGCATCCTGATCAAAGAATATATAAAGACTGAATTCCTGATTTAAATTGCATGGTTCATGTCAGGCCATTTTAACTAAAGCTTTAGGGATGAGGCAGGTCTCAGGTAACAAGACAAAGCAACTTATTACAAAAATGGTATGAATATGACAGAAGGTACGGTGAAAGAAAGAAAATGTGACAGCTCCCTTTAGGACATAGATGGACTGCCTTAACAGGAATTAACATCGCATCCCTGTAAGCACAAGACCACAGTCTTCAGAGATTCAATCTCTATACTTTTCCAGCATGCCTTATACAAACCTCAAAACTGCAAAGGTTGTGCTAAAGAACCAGACACATAAAACTAATAAGACGTAAGAAAATGAAAACTAACACAACAGCTCGAAGCATGCTAGACCAGGCCGTGCTGCTTGCAAAGCCCTACCTATCCCATGACTCTGTGTACCTTAGCTGAGTTCAGAAGCAGGTGACCATTTGCACGAACGCTTAAAGGCCATTTGCTCTCATCACACGGCCACAACGCACAGTGATTGTAGATGAAGAACGTCAGGTGGTTCTGAATAAGGTCCTTCCCAGAACACCGTAGATCCACTGGGTACCAGAATTCAAACTCTCGCTTCATCAGGTCCAAAGAATCTTTTGGAATTTTTGTGCTTGCCGGAAACTCCGCATTTTTATAGAAGATATAGTCCCACACTTCTGGTGACATTTCTTCTGCCCTGCAGAGACATGTAGAATATCATTAGTGTCTCTAGTAACACTTATTTATTATTTAACTACTCTATGCAGTGAAGACCCTCAGGCTCTGCTAGTCAAGAAACTCCCCGTCTTTTGCAGAACCAGAAGGTTCAGTGCCATGTCCAGAAGAATCTGTTACTAGATCCCATCCCAAGCCAGAGGAGATTTGACTATATGAATGCAATGAATCCCAACTAATCAGGCTATGGAACAAGTCAAGACAAATCCAGCCCACACTCTCACACCCTAACACCTTAAGATACATTTTAATATTATTCTCATTTATACCAAGCTGACTTAAGTTATCTGTCCTTTCCCTTCTAGTTTTCCAACCAAAATTGTGTAAACATTTCTTATATCACCCTTGCATTATACATCTTTGATCATCTCTTCTACTTTTATTTAATGATTGGTGTTTAAAAAAAATATTAAATTATTCTCAAGGAATTAATATGAAGATCGTATGAGGCATATACATCATTTCTGATATTATATAATAATTACAATGAGCTAAACTGTCTTGGCATATAAAATTCAACATGGTGGGAGATTATAAAGTTGTTTAAAAGTTCTAAATGTTGAAAAGTTCCAACATCCAAGAATATATTTACAGACGATGAGCCTTGCCACATCCATCCACTTACTTGATATTAAGTGCATTCGTTTTACTTCCATTAAATGTTCCACCTTGCAGCAGATGAGCAACGGTGTAGAAAGCCATGTAAATAGTTGAATCGGACAAGGATTCAATGAGCCACTGCTCATCCCAAGGAAGCTTTGTACCTACAAATATGAGTTTCAATATAAAAAAGTAATACCTTCTCCAAAGCACAATTTCTTGTAAACAAATTAAACACAATGACAAACATTACAGAAAATGAACTGGATCAAACAAATGCAGAATAGATAGGTCTGTTCAGATAAATATGACAAATAAAATTATTGCAGGCTCTAAAATTATGGATATTTATAATGCAAGATATAAGAAGTTAGATACGTCTATAATCCAGGACGTTAATGATCTCACTACATTACTACAATAGAGAATGGATCAACAGCATAATCCACGGAACCCTTCCCCTCTTGCTTGCAGTTTTCCAACCCAAATCAGCATCTGGAAACCAAATTTTCCAATCATAACCGATCTCCATACATCTACTTTTCCACGGCTCATCTTCAGTATTCAGCGCGTATCCTGAGTAACGGAGTCTTTATTACGACACTCAACATTCATATTGGATACCATCTAAATATTCCTGCAGTAGTCGCGTCTCCAACAAGTTTCTTGCTTAAATCAGGAGACTAACCAAGGCCGTAAGTCCGAGAGCAAGCGTACTCATGCAGCCAGTTGAATGTAGCCATGAAGTTCTTCTTAACCTCAACATGATAAGTGTTCATGTTATTCAGACCTTTAATTGCCTGTGCTTTCCACTGTTCTTCGCCATAATCCAGGTACCACTGATTACACAGCGCTACCACACACTCATCACCAGACCTGCCAAAACAGAGAAAATGCGGATACTGAAACAATCAAACGAGAATGACTATGGATTGTGTTTTATTAGACTTTTTTTTAATAGATGCAATTACCATAAACACTTTCAAAAATTAAACCTTCTAAAATGAAATGCGTGTAGTGGATACAAATGTTCAACAATCACCACCAGGAATCCCAATGCATTCACAATATAAGCAAATGATCACCCACTCACCTGGACATTATTTGTTTCTCTGGTTCATAATAAATAACAGCTTCCATGTTATCAATAAGCCTCTTCTGCAGAGCTTTTTTAACATCTTGAACCTTCTTCCCTTTAAAGTCTCCTACCAACATAACCTGAACGTCAAAGCATAAATTAAAACCACACTTAACTGGAGTAAAGAAAATTATTTGGTGAGAGTCAATGTCTTGAAAACACAATTTGATTCAGCTGATCAAGAAATTCCCTGCCGTCCTTGGAACCCAAAGACTCCATACCATGTCAGATTCAGCTGATCAAGAAATTCCCTGCCATCCTTGGAACCCAAAGACTCCGTACCATGTCGACAGGAGTCTGCCATTTCACCAGATAACTCAGATTATATACCACATCCTATTATTATTATTTTGAAATTACTTTCACATATTATCTTTATGAACCATTTCTCAAGCTGATTTTTATTCTGACATTTATTTACTTACCCCATCATAGAATCCCTTGAGATAAATCAAATCTTTAGCTTCTTGCAATTTATCTTTATCGTTCTGGCTTTGAATCTTGAGTTTATCATACAATGTCACCGCACTCAGAGACCCATAGTCCGGGACATCAATAATTGGAACCTGCACAACAAAAATGAATTACGTTTGTTACAAAAAGAGAACAAAGTACAACACATAAAACTGTGGCACTCATTCCAATTGGCATGTCCACTGCTGTTTCATTATCCTTAAGAGTAAGATCATATTCAGAAGACAGATCACTTAAAACTTTTGGAGCATGCAAACTCTCACCACTGCGAAAACTTTTAATTTGTGTTCTGAATAAGTCCACTATTTAATCTGCTACGTACTCGCCACTTTATTTTTTTAATCTCCAAAGGAAAGATGTATCTACGTTACTAACCAGAATATATTATATTCACAGACAACTGATTTAAAAAATATTTCATTGCACAAATGTCGCTCACACTGACATGCGACAGGGTGTAGGATTGTACCTCAGCAAGTAATTACATTTAAATGAGTCTGTCTCTTACAGGTTCAAATGGAAGGACCATTTCATCCTTTATCCCATACTTCTCCCTGAGTGGCTGTTTGTTCTTGAGGTCCACCAAGGCCGCGTAATCATCGGGCGAATCTGACGGAACACTTGTCACCACTCCCGTACCTTTGTCTTCCTTTATGGTCAACATTGGGAGAGTATAGATCTTCGTATTACACGTGAGAGGGGCTTCCAGTGTGACGCCCATAATGTCCTGAAAGCAGTGTAACAGAGAAACTGCAAACAAAGCAACACAATATTGTTTCTTTCTCAAATTATATTTTTTTTTTACGGTAAAAGAATATTGTTTCTTTCTCAAATTATATTTATTTTTTTATGGTAAAAACATTTAAAATTTTCCTTTGTCATCATTATCATTCTTCTTCTTGTGGTAAGTTACCATCATGTTGGTACTACCAATTAGAGGAAATTAAAAAGTACAATTTTGGGTTGGTCTCAAAAAGGCATAAAAACCACATCACGTAATGGCATCCTGATCAAAAAAACCTCACAACTCTCAGCATCCGCCACACCGGTATTACCCACTGCAGGAAATTGAAACGCAATAAGAAACAGACGGCAGTAACATTCTTGGCTACGAGATGTGTCAGACAGACAAATATATAGAATGGAACCACGCGGTGTTATTTGCCTACGCTGAAGTGTAAAGAACACCTGAAAACTTATTTCAAACTGTGATATGAACAAATTACCTGTCCAGTAAGTTCAAGCAGCACACCAAGTTTTCCTTCTTTTTCTGTGAAGCCCTGATAAGCCATGTTTCGCGCTGAGCGCCTCGTACACACGAACACTTCACCCTGCCCAATAGTTGTCACGAAAGCTATGTACTGAAGGTCAGGATGAACCCAGCAGTTTGTTTGGCCATACATGGTTTCCGGCCGAAGAGTAGCGGCAACCAGGAACACGGGTCTTCCTCTAAGTGAGCTGCAAACATATGTTTCAGAGTTCTATTATGAACATCCTCATTAGAGTGAGATCTGTTACAATTAACACTGTCCATCATTCAGATTTCAGTTTAGGAAAAACACAATACACCAAAGCACTGCTCTTTCTGAACAGATTATATTACATTTCATTTTAAGAACATCATTATAAGAGAAACACTAAATGATCCTTCAAATTTAATGACTCACATAATTTATTCTTCATCAATTTTTACCTTGCCTGAGGCATGTGGTATCATCATACGTATGTATATGTGTGAGTGTACGTGCGTGTGATGACCTCAGGTAATGCTGAGCAGAGCTTACCAGAGTTGCGCTATCGCATTCAGAATGCGCTCTCTTCACCACATATTATTAGGGTGATCTAATTCAAGAGAATGAGATGGGCAGGGCATGCAGAACACATAATGCGAAGTTAGCAAATGAAATGTAGTCAGAAAACCTGAAAGAGACCACTTTAAGGCCTAAACATGATTAGACTGTAAAAATGTAACGTGTGAAAGGGGAAGACCGGGGCAATAGTTCGTAATTTTTAAACACGTGATACCTAGTAGAACAGATCTGTTCCACATACCTCAGCTTTGGAGGGAAAGGCTCAAGTAGTTTCATCTTAATGAGTGTGTATTCCTGCGGTCCAACGCCTTCGCCAGTGCTCCGATCGTGGTCCATACAAGGTTGATTATCTCTTGGAGAGAACACAGTATAACGCTTTCCATACTTCACTTTGTTTCTTGCTTTCAGTTGCAGGAACTGCCACCGTACAAACTGATCAAAAAATGGATTTGAATCGGTCGTAATAAACGTGCGTCGCCAGTCAACCTGCCACAAAAGAATATTACAATAATAAAACAAAAGCATATAAAACATTAAAATGCAGGTTACAAAATCTGCTTACCAAAGAAAACACTGTATGTACTACTGCGGAAACATACACACAAAACGTGCGGGTTATAATTTCTATATCAGCCAAGTACGAAAATGTGCGTCCGCTGAATGCGTGTAAGTTCTACTATACACATTACATGCACTAATTAGTTTTATAAATGTTCAATTAAAAGATTCTAACATGAACATTTTAAAAAAATGAATAATCTGTTCCTCAACTTATGTAACGCATCATCAAGTATTAAAAAGATCAAATCAAAAAGAATGAGATAGGTGGGCAAGCAGCATGCATGCGGATGATGAAAAATGGATTCAAAATTTTTGGGTGGAAAACCCGAAGGGAGGAGACCATTCACAAGACCAAAGAGTAGATAAGAATATAGAATTGAAGCAGATCCAAGAAAAAATGGTTAGAGAGTATGGACTGGATTCATCTGCCTTAGGATAGGCTCTTCTGAACACAGTAACAAACCTTCTGGTTCCACAAAAGGTCGGGAATATCTTGACTAACTGAAAGAACTGAGTATTTCTAAAGGACTCTGTTCCGTTAGTGCTTTCGTCCTTTCTCTCTTCAGTGTGCCTTTAAGTCACATGGCTTTCCAGTCGTTATTTTTACATTACGTTCCTCAGGCAAACGCCCACACAAACAAAATCAACACACATTTTTTGCAAATATTTTTCACATTATTTCTCATCACAATGTTACTTTTACAGTTTCTTATTTCATTTAAAATTCAGTGGTTATTTACCTTACTCAGTTTTGAACATCTGCAACCTCTACAGCTACTCTCACTTCGTAATGCCATTGAATTTCAATAGTTGCACACAGTGGCAATTCCTCAGTCCATTTTGGGACTGCATGATTTTCTCCAGTTGCCTCTGTCCCTTCTTAGTGTCATGATGTGGCATAATGCAAATTTATAAAAACTTACGCTACTAATCACCCTGAGAGGTAAACTCAATAAAACCTTACATGAATTCCAATACTGTTCAAATCTTTAACTGCAAGTGGAGGGAAATGCTCTAGCCAATGAGAAGCATCTGCAAATTTCTTGATTTCATCATCAGCGAGACCCAGACTCTGCATAATCTGCCACTGGTATTTGCCACTGCCTGCTTTAGCCACTGCCTTGCTCTGGAAAGACAGACGGTTCACAATAACATTTTTTCAAAACAAAATACAAAATACTCAATAATGCAAGATTAGTGACAACCAGGAAGTGCGGAGGAAACAATGGAGCCTTACCACAGCGCCCTGTCATGATAACTGCACAAAGTGTTACCTTTTTGCCCTTGCTCTTGTCCCTGGCGACCGCGTCGGCCTTTGTCGTTTCCTCAGGTTCTGCTTCGACTGCACTGACTGGAAATTTAGGAGGAAAGCCAAATGTCTTCATCTCCCGCTTAAGCTTATCAGCACATGCCTCTGTACAATGAAAGCCAAATGGAAACAGGACGCGCTTACCCTTAAGGCGCTGGTATCGAGCTGCAAACTAGAGAAATCACGTGTCAGGCTTAAGAAGCCAATACTGAGGCTTTATTTACTTCCACACACGTTAATGGGACAAAAACATTACAGACCAATAAAGAAAAAATAAAGTGGAAAAAGGGAACAGTGAACACAAATACAAGAAACCACAGATGTCATAAGAGAGTTCTTCACACAGTTTTGGTCAGGAGAAGAACAGAAGATATGAAACGGGGCTTCAATAACAGCTAAATATGTACAAAGGACAATAAAATTTGAGTAACAGCAAAATCAAAATGTTTCTAAGAGAAAAAGTTTTGCATCTCATTTAAATATATGCACTACTACTTGCTTCCAGGTGTGAGAGAAAGAAGAACTTTTCACAATGTAAATAGACACATTTCAAATTAAAGCAAGGAATCTTTATTTCAAGGTTCTTGACAAGAACAGATAAAACTGAGTAATTTAGAAAACATAGAACCACATGTGAGATATCTGAATTTGCAAGTTGTTTATGAGTACCTCACATTTGGAGAGGGAAAATGTATGGCCCAGATGCAATCTGCCATTCATGTATGGGAAGGGAAAAGTACAGAAGAACTTTTCATCTTGACGCTTTCTGGGTTCTGCTGGAGCATCTACTTCATATATCTTCGCTTCTTCCCACTTTGCCTGAACATCTTTCTCAATTTTCTGAAGGTACTCAACTTTGAAGGTACCCTTTCTATCAACTGCAGAAGCCTAGAAATCAAAAAAAGAAAACCGCTGATCAAATTACAAATTATGATGTTACAAATGGCATATGCCACAAAGATTCTTCTTCCATTGTTTATAATGATCTCAACTTTCATATTCATATCTGAGGGTGTATAGTCTCTCACGCATCACCACCACAAGATTTGCAGTAAAATTAAAACAACAATTATAAACGAATACAACAATGCTAAACGCAACAATGCCAATAAACAGACAACTAAACTGTTTATTGACATTGTCATGCTGCTCTCACAGCAACACGTCACAATATAATTGTTATGATTAGCGTGAAAGAAACGTCGAACTTAAAATTCTGATGAATCTACTTTCTGCACAATGCCATTCCACCCAGCATTTGATTCACATCACATCTCCCATTCCAAACTACAGAACGCATTCACCCATCTCATATTCACCACTTAATCACAAATTCTTTTGCAAGCCCATAAAGCATTCTGGCCTGCACCTTTCAACTTTCAAATAATCCCATATCATAATATTCAATAAGCACTGCCGCCCTAGAATATCCTACACTCTGTAAATAATGTGTTATTTCCATATATGTCAATATAATAATAATAAAAAAATTGATCCATTTCCAAAATCTAACCCTGTAACATTGCATGAAGCCAATCTGTGTAGGCCTGAAGACAGGAAACTGAATTTCTCAAAACATGCAGCCCCTTTAAATTTTGTTATTTAATAGTTCATGTGTGATGAATTAACAAAATAAATGGTTTAATATGACACATAATAGAATGCTTCACTACAAAATACTAAAAGTTTTGTTTTATTTGTTTAATGTGTTCATATTGCAGTTGAGTTAACCCATTAATAATTCTGTTTGTATGCATATGTCTCCATTCAACAAAAGAGGACATTAGCTCCACTTCTGTCATTTTCATGGGCCATGCCATGCCAGATCAAGAAAGAAAAACACAATTTCCAGTCTGACCCATGGCAGCCAGTTACAGTCATTCCACTATTGTCCAAACATTTCTTTCATATCATCGTCTTGTCCTTTTGGGTTTTAATGTCATGTTACATTGCACGTAGATACCGACACTTCAATGAAACAAAAATTGACATTTTTACCTCCTCACAAACATAAGGGCTTGTCAATCAAATTTTAATTTGCAAAATAAAATTAATTTTTTCCCATAATTCTTTGTAAGTCTGGGAATTTTGGTGCTGAATTATACAAGACATGAGGAGCTACATTTTTCAGGAAGATGTGTCTCTACTCTCTACACATTCAATATGTTCCATATACATTTGGGGAGATGAGGCTGTGTTGATTTTGCATGGAGCATAAAATGTTCCAGTAATCTGCAGCCACACACACACAGAATTTTTTTTATAATCTAATACATAAATCATTTCATTCAAATGTTCCTTTATTTATGTGAGATTTCTGGGTGTCACATGGGGAGGGTGGTGATGTTGCACTTCTGAGTTTTGACGTCATGTAGACTCGTCGGTAAATGCCACCGTTTTGAAGAAACACAGTCTTCATCTTCACCCCTGAAGATGAAGACAGTACGTCTCTCCAAAACGCTGATATGTACACAGCGCCAAAACCCAGTGCATATTTTCGTAAAAAATCGTCGTTCTTGATAATAAAGTCATGTTTCTGACTCGAAAAATCAATACGGTGATCACTGATCTCACGCAGAAATGGTTATAAGCTTTACCAGCTTATGCTTTCTTCCAATGGTAGCATTGTGAAACAAGTGTGAAGTTAGTTGCATAATGTGTACTTCGAGTTCCATTATATAGAAGCATGACATTTTGGATCCACATAACCAAGCCTACTATTGTTAGTATTTTCGCTTTATTTACATCGAGATTATTGCATCCTTTAATTTCAACTGCTCTAATAATATGAAATATTACCAATTTATTTCATCATTTCCTGCAAATATAGCTTAAAGACGATTGCACACGATTGCAAACTCTTGAAAGCCATGTGTTATATGCGTACTCTCGGTTTGAAAGTTGCTATACATTACACACTTGATATTCATGTTAATGAATTATAACCATATAATTCTATTTAAATTACTGTTACATTATTGTACCCATTCATAACCATTTTTGCATACCGAACTTCGAAACCGACGTGGTTCATGAAACAGCATTCTTTAAAAATGAATATTTGCTTACCATTTAACAAACTCGTACTTCCAAGATCTGTTGTCACTTCTGATCACGGATAACCTACAAACAACTTCTGATACCCCAATTAAAACTTAAAACAGTAAACCAAAATTAACAAATACAGAAGGTGACGTGTTACAATCCACACTACATCATACACCTCTACACGTACACGTCCTTGTAGCAAATATGCTCTACGTATGAAACATGGGTTATCTGCGGAATGAAGCTAGCTACAAACACAGAATACCTACGTAAAAGACATTGTCAGGCGCAATACTGCCAACATGAAGGCGTTCGAGTAGGATTTGGCTGATCTGCAACTTATTGAAGTGTGATTGTTTTGTGTAACTGTATTGGAAGTATTTTCGTTGCATAAATTGTTCTGTTCGGTGACAGTATTGCAGTTTAATAGCCACACATTCTCGGTACATGCATGCATTTAGTGTTTTGTGACATATTTGTTTACGACGGTATAATCATGCATTAAGGGAGTAGTTTATTAATCAGCTCTATTTTTAAACATCTTAAAATTGGCATATATAAATTACACTTTATCCACCATCAAATTCGGTATTTATATAAAATTAACGTCCTACAGCAAGGTTATGTGTACCTGCATCTATTAACAAAGGCAAAGTTCCAAAATCTATGTTCAAGTATTTGGTTAAAGGCAGAACACAACACCATTTATTCACAGTTACCACTTGGCAGTTATGCCTAAAGAGGTGTCATCACTGTCTCATTTACCACATTAAGTCACTGCATTCCTGATTGCTGTAGTCTACCATTTCTGCATTCCTGATTGCTGTAGTCTACCATTACTATCATTTCCTATGTGTGATTTTTTTTGTTTTATGCCTTTTTTTATGAACACTAGTTAATCAGTGTCCCAGGACAGGGACCTGTGGAGGGCTTTGGTTAGTTTGGTGATAAACCTTCAGGTTCCCTAAGCCATCTAGTTAAGTAGTTAGTTAATTAATCAATGTAAGAGAAGGTGAGATTTGAGATTGCAATGGGAACATGTATGAAGAAGGTCATCACCTGGGATATCGCAAAGTGTAGTCTGGTAAATAGTGAGAAGCTTAATGCCTCTTCCTCCTCCCTCAGGGTAGGCAGTAAGCCCCTCTGAAATGTTTGAACATCTAGGAGACCTCAGTGCAGTAGAATATGTTTCTGTAAACTAAATGTCCTGGATGTCAGATTGAGCTATAGCCATCAAAAGTCAAACTTAAATGTTCTTATGCCATTCCCATGTTGGAAAGCTCTGTGAGGCACAGGCCTTTCCACGTGTGTGTAAGGCCTGAAGGCTTGTGGGGCCAACTGTACCATATGAATCTGTCTGTTGTCTAATGGGTCATTTTTACATGTGATCTTGTTGGTGGTGACCGATGCTTCAAAGCTACATATCACCTTCTTCTTCATGGTTGAAATTAAACATTAATTACTTAAATTAAAGATCACATGGTGTTAGCTTTGGTGACAATTAACATGTACCATATGTGATTGATTTTGTTTAATATCCATAAAGTAAAGTAGTCACGTGTAGACATTACTAAGTTGCGGTTGTCTCTGTTATTTGCAGTTGAAATGCCACTGGACAATCTCAGTCATTTTGACGAGAGGAGTGGAGTCGTGTCGTGCCGCACTGACTGGGGCTGCTGGTGGCAGACCGTACATGAAGTGCACATTGAAGTCAACCTGTCTAAAAATACGAAGGCAAAGGATGTGTCTGTGAAAGTCCGTGCCACTGAAATTAACTGCACTGTCTGCAAAGAGGTTGTTTTCAAGGTATGCTAGATAATAATTCTGTCCTTGTTTTTTAAGTGTTCATCAAGAACTGCCCCAACTTCTGGATTTTTGTTTTAGGGTCAGTTATACAGTACAGTGCATCCTGATGAAACAGTTTGGACGCTAGAAGACAATACGCTGCTGAGCATTGTGCTGGCCAAAGCGGATGTTGCCTTAACGGATGAAATATGGGTGTCCTTGCTTCAAGGGGATATGTACAGACCAGATCCATTCACACTACACGAGATGAGAACGAAGCTGGACCTCGAGAGGTTTCAGATCGAAGTACGTTGACATTTTAATCCTGTTCTATACATGGATTTTAAGTAGACAGAATAATTATCGATGCCAGAGACTTAGGCGTTTACATAAGAAACAAATGCAAAATATATAGATTAAAATTATGTAAGTTGTTCTATTTGTGTGCAAAATCATTCTTAAGTAATCACTTCCAACAGCACAAGAGTCGTCGCACATAACCTCACTTGCACGTATTTCATGTGCCACGGTTCGTCTGATATTGCCATTTCGAGTCTCGCCGCTGTTCTTGATGGTTGTTTCAGTTTTCGTGTCCGTCAACAGACGACATTTTGAGACTTGTGACACATCAAGTCTTGTTATTTATTTCCAGAATCCTGGATTTGACTTCAGTCACGCAAAATTATCCAAGAGTTACGATCGCCTGCCGGGTTGGTCAGTAAATACGACGAAGAAAAATAAGGATGAGGAGGAGACGTGAAGTGTGGCCACTGGATGCCCCATTTCACAGGAACTGTCTTTCGTTGTGATGTAATTGTCCGTGTACATTCAGATAATTAAATGAAGTATTTTTCTCCTACTTGGTTTCTCATTTTTTTGAACCGAAAATCATCGCCCTGATGACGTCGTTTCAATTAACCACTTTGTGACTGCAACGAAGTATAAAGGAGCGACTTTGAAATGAGGTGGTCCCAAGAAAATGTTAATACAAATACGTAAGACGTACTTTTAATCCAGTATTACCACGGAGTTCTGAAACATGGACACTTAGAAGAAAAACAAGACAATGGATGTGAAATTAAAAAGCTTCGTGGGAATTAGGAATTAATCATTTATTAAAGAATTAAAAGTTTACAGGTTAAAAGGGTCTGAATACGTTAAAAAATAAAGGTAGCCGATGCGGAACCTGGAGAGAGGGCAGAGTTGCGCTCCATCCATGGATGTTGCTGACAGCTGCAATGAACGTTGTGTTGCTCTGCATCAAGACATCGTTACCTTCATTTTTTGGATCTGCGAATATGAGCCATGTCCGAGCATGCCTTTCGTCTCGGCCTGGAAACTAGCCATCCTGACTGAGATGTATCGTAGTTTTCCTCAGTCCCTTCATTCGTATTCTGAGAGAATGCCTTAAATTAGGCCGCAACCACTTCCATATTAATTTTAATTAATCCTGCTCATTAATTATGCTGCTACATACAGAATAATTAAATAAACCATTATCAGAGCGTAGCATGCAGGAAAAATTCGCAACGTAGTAAATATTTTTAAAATGTGGACAAATTAAAATGCTGGCTGCCTCATATTAAGGGACAGACAACAAAGCAAAATGGATTTGATCTCTCCAACGATGGGTTCGTTCTAATTTGCTGGCATTGCTAATCAAATGGCTTTTGATTAGCAATGGATGGAACTCGACAAGCAAAGGCACGTAACTTCCCGACATCGGTCCAGCAGCTGTGTGCTAGATGTCGGATCGACCTTTGGAGTTGCAAGTTTCATGGCGAAAAATCAGTCTCTTGCCATCAAAAGTGGTTCTAACAAATGGCGATCCTGGCACTGAACTCTGTAACTAGTGAAAATCTATTCTGTGTTAGAAATCGCCCTCCCTAGTGCCAATTGCTCATTGCAATTGTTTTCGTAATTTCAAGACAAACTATCCTCATGTAGCACACATAACAAATATTAAAAAATGCATAAGAAATTATAATCGAAACCCTGGAGTGAAGAAACTGCTTCAGACCTAGGAATAGATGACAAGACAACACTGAAACATTCTGTTAGGGCCTGGGCCAGATTCCATTGGGTCCGGCGGGGGACCGTTGTAAACACGATAACATGAACCTGGCTCCATAAAAGGAATATCAGCTTTAGGAGAAGAACCCTGTTGGCGCACTACCATTGATTCACTGATGTCGGAGTAATTATTTATTCATACTGTATCAACTGCAGAATGTTATATTGGTTGCCGCCTGGCACTGCCCCGTCAGACAGCCTACAAAAAGAGTGCATCAGCTGGCATAGAACTTGCAGGCCAATTCTGCGATTACAACGTCCAAGCTACATGAAATTCCAGTTCAAAATTCATTTCAAAATAGTACGTAAGCTATTGTCATCCCAGGTACACACAAGCTGTATTATTTCCCCGTGTTTTGTAACAAAAATACTCCGGCGATGCCCGTAATTAAATTAAACAAATTTAAATTAAATGGGAATTAAAAATTACAACGTGTGTTTATGCGACGCAGCGCCAAGAAATCTTCGGCTGATTGAAATTAAAATCTTAATAATGACTGGCCGTCTGAGAAAAAACTCCACGTCCCGCATGTTCTCTGGACCCCCCCCCCACCCCCACCCCGTACTATTTTTCGAAACAGAAAAATCTATAATTTTCTCTTGGAAAGTTGTTTATACGCGCCGGACTTGTCTGTGCCTGAATTTCGAAGGAGAGAAAGCATTCGTTAGTTTCCCGGCGCTCCATGAGAAAATCGCGCCGTTTACTGTACTTTTGGACGCCCGTGTAAATAATTTAGAATGAAAAATCGTTTCGGCAGTTACCGCTCACGTGCTTTTCCTACGACGCTTCGTTTGGGGTGGTCAGTGCTTTGTTCTGGCGAAGATGAGGTTTCAGATGCTCATTTGGCCCGACTCGTTGTTCATCCGAAGATCTAAATCAGACGCCCTGCTCGCTGTGGTAACGTGTTTTTCTTTTATTTAACATATTACAGGGTGTCGCCCCAGTATGAGGCTGGTTTGATGTTGCCACAGTCGGAATAAACCGCTCGTAAATTCCAGTGGTTATAAAACTGTCGGCAGTTTGCCCCTTCCCTGCCCGAATATTAATTACAGCTGCAGCATTCGGTGGCGTGAGGCGCCACATCACATGACGGAACTAAAATGGCCGACCGACGTGCTGCCAGCCACAGTTCTTGGGCTGTGTATAAACGGAGCCATAAATCTGACGTCAAGAACAGCGTAAAGCGATCCTTGGGGAACCATTACCGCCAGCAAAATGCTCCTGGAGCCGAGGACTCCGGACCACGGGCAAGCAGCCTCCTCCTCTGATCGAAACTAGTTCGCGCTTTTCCTCCGACACCAATCTGCTCTGTCATTTGTTCTAACTTGCCCTCACTCACTTCGACTGCTCGCAAAACCCCGCAACCTCTCGTAACGATAAATCTGTGCGAAAGGCTGGTTAGTCGACCCTGATGGTGGAGACAAGTGGTTGTCATTGCAATTTTTTGGCCTGAAGGGCTTACGTCGGTTTCTCTGCCGTCTTCATGCCTCAATCTTGCCGAAGTACTTCGGCCGTCCTGACAAAGCCAAATGATTATCGCCGAAATCAATAATTCCACAGCCTCACGGCTCATTTTATGAGGCTGTATCAACTGTGGCAGTTGTTCAGCACTCAAACAAGGAGGAAAACCGAAGTCGTGGCCTGTTTTAATGGAAAATCTCATTCGGTGTAGGTATTTAACAGCGTTTTCTCCTCGTGCAATGGAAGTGAGGCCTCTGTGTTCCCCACGCGAAGCAGGTAAAAGTTGCGTGAGATCGCCCTGATGATGGAGGCGGTCAGAATCGCTGAAACGTCGGTACACTTCACGGAGCACGCTCGCTGGTACGGACCTCGCCACAAATGCCATCGCACACTCGTGGCCCGACGGATCTACGTCAAATTAGAGAATTTCTCACGGCGCAATATTTGTTGTTTCGGGGCCTCGATTACGTCTGCCATTTTGACCGATGCCGAACCGAATAAATTTGGGCTGGCGCGCCATTAAGTCGTGACCAAAGACGCAGTGCGCATTTGTTTGAATTCATGTCGACAAATAAATCTCCAGCAAAGTAAAACAAAATGTCCCTTCGCGGGTTAAGTTACGCTGTAACACCAAATGAGGAACCTTTGACCGCGCAACGCGGTTTGGAATTTTCAGTTCAATCTGAAGAGGCTCGAGAGAGGTGGGATAATTAAATGGAGGGCAACTTTCGTTTCTTGAACCTCCCGATACACAGAAAAACAAGTCAGGCAACTTTTAATCTCACTTTTATTGGGGACGGATGTCTGCGAGACCCGATTGGTCGTAATTCAAGTCACGCACCGCTTCGCGTGACCATGTTCTCTGATGCCCCTGGGTTCTGCCCCTTATTTTTTCTGTGTTGCTGACCACGCCGGTGTTAACAAGTGCCCCCTGCCCCCCCTCTCATGGCACAGCGACCGGCCAATGAAGTCTCCGAGAGATTGGTCGCTTCCACGGAATCTTTGTTGTTGTAGATATTTTATGGAACGTCCATAAATAGCTTAAGCGATGGCTTTGCTTTTGAAATTCTCGCATCTGCCGAGAAACTTGTTTATGAATGAATACTTAACGACAGGTACATCTGTTTTTACTGCGTGACAATAACGATCAGACGATTTGAACAGATTTCGATATACTTTTCCAGTCGGGCCGGAGATTCCCTGCGAATGCGCCAACCCACGTCACGTGGATTCAGCTGGCTTGGGATAGGGACAGGTGGCGGGCTGTTGTGAGCGCGGTAATGAACATTCGGGTTCCACATAAAGGCGGGGAATTTGTTGACTGGCTGAGCGTGCTACCAGCTTCTCAAGGAGGACTTAACTAAGTACTTCTGGGTTGCCGGCCGGACTTCAAATCCGGGGTTAGGTCTAACGCTGTGATATCTGGGACCGGACGAGGCAATATTTGGCCTGAAGCTGTTTATAGCGGCGAAAGGCCCTAATATCTGGGACCGGACGAGGCAATATTTCGCCTGAAGCTGTTTATAGCGGCAAAAGAAGAGGCTGAGTCTGAATCTAGATGTGTACAAGAGAATTAGCAGACTCTGCACTTGAACAGTGGCGTTCGATGCTCGTAATTACTCTCGCCTGACCTGCAGGCAGGCTTAATTCTATTTCGTGAAGACGTCAGCTCACATCGAGCTTGGCAACCATCACAAAGAGTGACTTGTAGGGTAAAGTGGTCATGTTTGTGTCCCAAACGCAAGGCTGTCGAGCTATTAGCCCATGTCCTGTACGGGCTATTGAGCAAGGCACAGACAGCAAATTGAGCCGTTGCGCGGGGCCGTAAATCACACTTCGGCTTTGAGCTGTCGGCCTAATGGCTTTATTGGAGTGGGCAAAATATTTCGACAAGATGCGCACTTGATGGCCGTGCTTTGATGTCTGCCGACGGTTTATGACAGGTCGGGGGAGGAAGGAGGCAGCAGTTTCGTTTTATGGCGTGTAGGTCTTCGCTGCGTCTCGCAGTTCACGCATTCTCTTTATCCCGAAATTACAATGGATGTAATATTTCTGACACAGAACAAATAGGACCTATCGGAAACTTACCCCATGGGCTGAAATCTCCCAAGTTATCACATAACACTTGTAGGAGACCGTAATATTATTAATAAAGCCTGTGTTTGAAACGAGCCCTGTTAGGCCGGCAAACACTTTTGAAAATGTTACACTCAGTCACAGGTTTTAGTAATTTCGTTGTAAATTAAAACTAAAAGGCCTGATAAACCATAGCTTCAGTCGATGGACTCTATTCCTGGACGTGTGCACACTTTGTCGGGGGGAGA